TATTTGGCAATAAAAAGGAATGAAGTACTGATACATAGCACAGCATGGACACAACATGGATAAACCTTGAAAATATTACGCTAAGTGAAAGAAGCCAATCACAAAAGATCACATATTGTATGATTCCTTTATATGTAATGTACAGGACAGGCAAATCTATAGCAACAGAAAGTAGATTAATGTTTGCATAGGGCTAAGGGAAGGAAGGAAGGGAGAAATGAGGAGTGACTGCTAATGGGTACAGAGTTTCTTTCGGGGGAGACAAAAATGTTCTAAAATTAGATTGTAGTGATGGTTGCTGATATGGTTTGGATCTTGGCCTCTCCAAATCTCACGCTGAAATCTGATCCCCAGTGTTTAATGTGGGGCCTCGTGGGAGGTGTCTGGGTCATAAAGGCAGATCCCTCACAAATGGCTTGGTGCCCTCTCCTTGATAAGTGAGTTCTTGTTTTATTGGTTCACAGGAGAGCTGGTTGTTTAAAGGAGCCTGGCACCACCTGCTCCCTCTCTTGCTCCTGTACTCTCCATGTGACATGCCTACTCCCCCTCCACCTTCCACCTTAACTGGAAGCTTCTTGAAGCCCTCACCAGAAGCAGATGCCAGTTCGATGCTTCTTGTACAGCCTGCAGAACCGTGAGCCAAATAAACCTCTTTTCTTTATAAATTACCTAGCCTTAGGTATTTCCTTTATAGCAACTCAAAATGGACTAACAATTGCACAACCCTGTAAATATACCAAAAATATTAAAATGTATAACTTAAACAGGTGAATTGCATGGTATGTAAATTATATCACAATAAATCTGTTTAAAAAAAAATAAAGGAGGGATCACCTAGAGCAATTACTGCCGCAAGATCACCTAAGATTAGAATAGAGACCTCTGGATTGGATAGCATGGAAGTTATCAGTGACCTTGACAAAGGACTGATGGAGAAAGAGGTAATTAGAGGGTGGGCTGACAGAGAATGAGATCTGAGGAACAAACTGCAAAGAACTGAGGTAATGGCTACAGAGGCATATGGAATAAATAGAGGTTTTATAAGATGGCAAATAATACAGTATATTTATTGATGAGAATGAATCAATACAGAGAGAGAAACTTATAAGGCTGGAGAGAAAGTGTTTGTTTGAATCGAAGTCCTTGGATAAGGGATGGATTAAAAAGCACAAATGCAAAGGGTGGGAGGCATTCATCTCAATAGGGGAGAAGGCACAGAGCCTAGGCACAGATGTCGGTAGGTTGTCGATAGTATTAGGAACATGAAGTAGGTGATGCTGTTTTCTCTGTGAGGTCTGAAGCAAGATGATCAGGGTAGAAGCAAAAGGTTTTCATTATATTGCCGTGTAACAAAATTACCCTAAAACTTAGCAGCTCATTAGATTATGTTTTCCTCACAGTTTCCTGGATTTGATCTTTACTCAAAATCCAGTTCTTAAATTTAGTATTGTTTGCTTTCTGGAGATGCTGGAAATTTTCAAGACCAATAAATACTGGTTCCTTTGTGTTTAACCATCTTGCCTTTAGCACGTCTCTCTCCTCTCACATTTTACTCAAAGCAGCAAGGAGAAATCAGGCGCATCTTCAACATTCTCCCTAGAAATTAATTACCTTTACTAAATCACCCAGTTCTTTATATACAATTCCTATTTTCCACATTAAAATATTTGGTGACAGTGTTGCTAAACTTTCTGCTTCTACATAAAAAGGATCTCTTTTCTTTCACTTTCTACCCATTTTTTTCTCACTTCCCTTTAAGCCTTCACCTGCAGCTTCATGAAAGGCCATGAGGCCTCTTCTAACAGGCTCTTCAAGACTCTTCAGTTTTTTTCCACCATTCTTTTCAAAGTCCTAGATTCTGTCTACTGCTTAGTTCCAAAGCCACTCCCACATTCTCAGATCTTTGTTATAGAGGAATCCTATTTTAAAGTTCCAAAGTTATTAACACCTATGATGAATTACTCTCAAACTTAGCAACTTAAAAACAATAAATATTTACTATCTCATAGTTTTTGTGATTCAGGATCTTGGGAGTAGCTTAGTTGGGTGATTTTGGTTCAGGGTCTTGCGTGAGGGTGCCAGGCTAGAAGATCTCCTTCTGAGATAGCTCGCTCACATGGTTTTAGCGGTTGGCTTCAGTTCCTTGCCATGTGGCCTTCTTCATAGAGATGCTTTGACATAGTAGTCGGCTTCTCCCAGAGCGAGTGATCCAAGTGAGAGGGAAAGGGAGAGCAAGAGAAGCCACAATGCTTTTTATGACCTAGTCTCAGAAGTCATACACGGTTGCTTCTGCCATATTAGTCTTTTGGAAGTGAGCCTTTAAGTCCAACCCAAACAGCAGGTCCTCGAATAATGTCATTTTATTCAATGTCATTTCATTATAATGTTGATGAGAAAAAAATCGACTCTGACTGGAGCCACACTCTGAGTGAAGTTTGCACATTTTCCCCATGCCTGTGTGGGTTTTCTCTGGGTACTCCGGTTTCCTCTTACGTCCCAAAGCTGTGCACATTAGGGAAACTAGCATGTCTAAACTATCCCAGCCTGAGTGAGTGTAGGTGTGGGTATGAGTGTGCCCTGCAATGGATTGGAGTCCTGGCCAGGGTTGGTGCCCGCCTTGTGCCCTGAGCTGCCAAGGATAAGCTCTGGCCACCTGCAACCCTGAAGTGGAATAAGCAGGTTGGAAAATGAATGAATGAATGAATGAATACAAGTTATTGTCAAACAAAAATTCATAAAGTATGCAATAATCACACAAATGCATGACAATACACAATGAGGTAGGAAACCACTCAATGAACCCACAATATTTGTTAGTGTTTGTTTCTGAACTGCCTAATATGGTAGGAGGTGCTCCATACAATTTTCGCTATGCAAACATTTATTCTTTGATTTCACCCACCACCACTATAGCCACCAACACTCACCGATTCACCAAATATTGGATAAATAATTATTGTTTTTATTAATCTTTCTTAAATGCATGTACAACTCACATTTATTTCAATGTTTAATATTAGAAGTGTTTTGGGTCTTTATTTAGAAGTTTGGTGATTTTTTTTTTTTGTTACCAGAAATATGCCATAGCAACTTAACCCTTGTTTATATCAATTAGCCTATGGTAAAACTGGTTTCATTATATGTCATTTCACTTAAAGGTGCAATTTCTAAGAACCTATTGACAACGTTAGGTGAGGACTTTCTCTACTCAAGGGGAGGGGAATTAAGCTCCACCTCTTGAAAGGAAGACTATCAAAGAATCTGTGGATAAATTTTAAACTACCAAAGACGGAACGGAGAAGTCCTGAAGAAAGAGAAGATAGGAAATAGCTGTTTCTGAAAGTTGGAGAATGGACACAAGATTGCTGGGAAATTTAGTAGAATTTCTCAGAAACTGAGTGCCCATTTAAAATTTATGATAACGAATTTAAAGGACCAGTCAGTCCCCCGAACTTGTTGGCTGGGCATGCGCTTCTATTACATACCTCTATGTGTTTATCCCATTATTGCTTTTACGAGGCAAATTTGCAGTGTTTGTTTACTTGCCTGTTTCCCCACTAAATTATTAACCTTTCCATGTCAGAGACCATGAACTACCCCTCACATGACAGGCATACAATCAATATTTGTAAAATAATTAAATCTGTTCTAAATTCCTTCCCATAAGCAAGAAAAAAGGAAGAAAAAATGAAAAAGGAAGCTACAACATAACCTAGAAAAAAGAGGAGAGTAAAATAATAGGGAAGACAGGCGTTTGAAGGGTTACAATATAACCTGGAGAGAGAGGCGCAGTATTAAATTTGCCAAAGAAACTAGTTTATTATCACCCTACCTCAAGTTCTTTAGGTTTGCCACGAGCCCAAATTCAAGCTCGCTCTGCGCTTCTCCCAATCTAGGTTTCCAGACCCAATTCTAACCAAAACACGGGGTGGAGATTTGTATTAGTCTTCTGTCACTGCCGTAACAAATTACCACAAATCTGGTGGCTTAAAGTAACACAGATCTATTATTTTCCAGTTCTACAGGTCAGAAGTCTGACAGTTAGCTAAAATTAAGGTGTCAGTAGTGCTGGGTTCCTTTCTGGAGACTCCGGGGAGAATCTAGAGGCCACCCACACTCCTTGACTCATACCCGCCCTCCTCCTGTTCCTCTTTCCGCTTCCTTTCTCTTTCTCACTGCAACCAGGAGAGGGATCCTATCATTATACTGTCCCCACCCAAATAATCCAGAATAATCTCCCCGTCGCAAAGTCTTTAACTTTAGTCACATCTGCAAAGTACTTTTTGCCATGTAAGGTAACACATTCACAGGTTCTGGGGAGGAGGACATGGGCACACTTGGGATTAAAGGAGACGACATATATGTACAGGTCATACAGTCAGCACTGGTTTAATCACAAGAAGTGCGGAAAGAAAATGTTAACTTCGATTACTCAGTTTACTTAGGAATACATGTGTGGTTAGAAATGCCAGATGGTAAAGCAGGGCGATGAAAGTAAAAGAAGAGTGGGTAGAGGATCCAGAAAATACCACAGACAGAAAATTTCTGTGCCCTAGAACTATTGCTGTGGTTTCAAAGTTTGGAATCACAAACAAACATAACCATATGTTGCTTCTCTTCGGCAAGTCACATATTTCAAAATAGCCCAAATTCTCTATTTTCCTTCCAAATGCAGTATTCCATTCATATGCCACCAGATGGCAGAGCAGAGCAGAGAATAAATTCCTAAATAATGAAAGAAAAAAAAGACCCTTTTCTTATCCTGGGAGAAACCCAGCCCTCTGGATGGAGAGCAAACCCAAAACTCAGAATAGAAAAGCATCTTAGTTTTAAAGGCTTCCAGAGACATCAATTTCACAATTTTCCTCTGATAGTTTGGCAACCTGTAAACATGTATATCAGCAAAACACAGTCAAGTGGAGGTCAGAATTGTTAAGCAAATTCAGAAATCCAGAAAGAATTAAGAATCACTTTCACTAAAAAAGAAGGTGCTGCTTTTCCTCCCTGGCTGCTTGAGAGTCGACCGCCATCATGAACGACACAGTAACTATCCGGACCAGGAAGTTCATGACGAACCGACCACTTCAGAGAAAACAAACGGTCATCGATGTCCTTCATCCTGGGAAGGCAACAGTACCAAAGACAGAAATTAGGGAAAAACTAGCCAAAATGTACAAGACCACACCAGATGTCATCCTTGTATTTGGATTCAGAACTCACTTTGGTGGTGGCAAGACAACTGGCTTTGGCATGATTTACGATTCCTTGGATTATGCAAAGAAAAATGAACCCAAACATAGGCTTGCAAGGCATGGCCTGTACAAGAAGAAAAAAACATCAAGAAAGCAGTGAAAGGAACGCAACAACAGAATGAAGAAAGTCAGGGGGACTGCAAAGGCCAATGTTGGTGCTGGCAAAAAGTGAGCTGGAGATTGAATAACAGCCGAAGGAGTAAAGATTGTGCAGTGACGTTATCTGTAGCCATCGTGTGGATTTTTCACAAGAAGATTAATAAACTTAAAAACTTTAAAAAAAAAAAAAAAAGAAGGTACCAAAAAAGATTTTTTTTAAAAAAACCTAACTTCCCTGGTTCCTTGAGTAAGCTTAATGGCTTCTTCCTGTGATCCCCACTTGGCTGTCAAGCACCTCAAATTCAACTTGTCCCAAACTGAACTCAGCATCTTCCTTCCACACTTTCTCTTCCTCCTGTTCCCTATTCAGTTAAGAATACTCTCATCCACCTGGTTGCCAAATCCAGAAACCCTAAGGTCACCCTTGTTGCTTCTCTAATCTTCGACTTGGAAAGAATGAGTATTTTATCATCCCTTTTCATCCACTGTTTTGGAAATAATACACTGTTTTTATTCTTTTAGGAGTTATCCTAGAAATTGTCACATGCATATTTAATTTATCAAAACTGAAGTTAATGAACATCTTTATCCTGATCCTAGATGATATAAGGATAATTTAAAATCTACTTATTCTTCTCGTGGATTATGTTGTTGTTGTATGTTTTAATTTTTTAAACCCCTTGTGTTTTCTTCTCGAGTTTAAGCTCATTCATTCATTCATTCATTCAAGAAATATTCATTGAAGACTTGCTATATGCCAGGAACTATGCAGGGACACCAAAAATACAGCAGTAAATAAGATACATTTCTAGCCATCAAAGAGTTTATGTTTAGTAAGAAAGGCAGTAAGTGA